ATGTGGAGCAGCTTGTTCTCTGCTCTCTGGACACCAGTGACCTATTTCCCTGGAGGGTCTGGGTCAGTTGTCCTGACTGCACTGACAGCCCAGAACACTTTCCTGAAATCGGGGGGAGGGGGGCGTTTCTAGCTGTCTTAACACTTTGGAAGCGACTTTGCACTGGGCAGTGGGCAGGCATCGTGGACACCCTGCAATGCAGCGGACGTACAAATGAGGGACACTGGCTCCCATCCCCCCATTCCACGGGACTTCCGCATGCATCGCCGGACGTGTGTGCTGGGAATCCCGCAAGCCCAGAACCCAATGCATTTCCATGCTGTGCACAGAGTCTATTTTGTACCCTTTCAACATGCACCCACTTTTTTTCAGGAGTGGCCTTTTCTGTGTGAATGGAGGAAATATTGCATTTTATTTTGTTGGAGGTTTGCAAAGCGTTGTTTAACAGTTTGGGGAATTGCGGCTTTGAACTGGCAATGTAGCATCCCAGCCAGACAAACATGTATGACCCATGTATGTCTGTGTCATACGTGTAGGCGTCCGCATCCCACTGTCTGGTTAAAACTCCAGGAGGATGTGCCTAAGGACTTATTTGCTGAAATAGATGCTATTTCATTTTAAGTTATTTTTCATTCTCTTTTTAGGCAAGCTGGAGCATCTCACTGATGTTTATTTGCTTTCTCTAAATTGCGTTCTAGGGTATTAAAGAGGTTTTGCAGAATTCTTGTTACAAGGGACACTGGGTCAGATAAGGCTGAGAACCACAGGTTTAGAAGGGTCTGGTGCATGTGGCGTGGCCCCTTCTGGGACCTGTCTGTCGGCTAGGAGGGCACAGTGAGGTCTGCTCTCCCCCTGCTCCCCCGTGCCTGCGGACGTATCTCATTCTGGAGTGAGGTCTCAGAAGCCCACGGAGAACTTACATCAGAGCCAGGTCCCCACTGTCCGTCACATCTGGTTTTCAGCTGTGTACTACTCGTATCCACACTCTGAAACCCGGCCCTGCTGCTCAGGGTTGAGGGAAATGTGGTTCACTGGCCCCTCACCCTCTTCTCTCTCTTAGCCTGCCTGTCCCCCCCGTAATCCTGCCTCTACTTGGAAGTATGGGAGCAGAAGCTGCACTGTGCAGCCCCCGAGGACCCACAGTCTCAGTCCCTGACTCGTCCTTCAGGGTCTCTCGCAGGGATGTCGAGAGCCTCTGTCCGGCCTATTAAGCCCCCCGCCCACCTGCCTGGCGTTCTCAGGCTCATGGGCATCATCACCGTCCAGGGCCCTTCCTGCCCCACCGCGGCTGGTGTACGCTCCTCCCGCTGGACGGGTGCTCCTGTGGGTAGGGACCAACCAGATAACTAGATGTGGAACTAGAGGCAAATGCACTTACTTCGTGTCCTCCTTTTCCCTGGTCCTCTCCCGTCAGGGGCTCTCGGGGCTTCTGGAGGGAGGAGGGAGCTGAGCCCAGCACACGGCTCACCCTCCCTTGCAGCCTGGGAGTCTGGCCCGCCTCCCTGGAGAAGCTTCTTCATTTGAATCCTCAGAGATCTTTCCCTGGGCTGAATTCTGTTTATTTTAGAGATGCCCCATTGAGCCAATTAAACACTACAGATCAATACCTACCAGGAGCACCCAGAGGACCACAATAATTCACTTTAGAGAAAAGAACAGGGAAGGAAAATCCCGTCTGATTCACAGCTAAATGCTCCACGGGGTGACTGCTCTGGGCTCGCTGGGCTCCGGTCCGGCGAGAGTCACGCAGGGGAGGTACTGGGGTTTGGGTGCAGGTGAGCTGGGAATGCGGCCACGCCTGGGACAGAAAACCACAGGACACCGATTCTCCCCTTTGGGGCAGGAAGCGTAGGAATAAGGGCACCTGCCCACCTGCTTCAGACTCTCCTGCCGCAGAGAACTTTCTGGCTCTACTAGCAGGGGCTTCGAACAACATAGGTGGGGACATTGTTCCGATCATGGTCCTGGGTGATGGGGGTTCAGAGGGCACCCGGACAGTGCGATGTGAGGCTCCCCAGGTGTGCACCTGTCACTGCAAACTCTCCAAGCCCCTGTAAGCCAAGCCTACCTCCAGTGTCCTTCCGAAGCTAACTGTGGGCCCAAAAAACAAGAAATGGAAGCGGAGAAATTCTGTGACTAGACCTGTGCCCTGGGCTCCTGAACCCAGCCATCGTCTGTCTCCCTTTCAGAGGGGCCCCTCTCCTCTTCTAAGCTGAACCCCCATGGGGCCCCCCTCCATCCATTTCTCCCTTTTCCGCATCTCTGTCTCTCTCCTCAGGTCTGCACCACCGACGTCTCCCTTGTCTCCACGCTGTCTCTGCTTCAGGCCAACAGCGCCCCCACTTCCCGAAAGGGACGTCTCGCGCTCGCCTCCATCTTTTCCTTCACCCCGTTTACCCTCGACGGCCGCCATCAGGCGCCTGCTCTCATGACAGACAGATGGACACCGGGCTAAGGCAACCACTGCTCCCTTCGTGGCCCAACCAGAGCCCGATTCCAGGCCCTGGGCTCCATTATCTTTGCGTGTTCTGATGCCGTTGGCTGTCCCCAGCCTCGTGAAAATCTCTGCTTTGTGAGAGGGGCTGTCCTCCCATCCCTCTGACAGGTCTGATCAGTCCCATCGGGGGTACCCACCCCTCAGCCTGCCCCTTACATGTTCCTTCTCCCCGAGATCTGCGCTTGGTCCTCACTCCGCTCTGCACACCTTTTCTCGGTGACATCGCTTCCTCCCATTGTTCCAGTTACCACGGTTCCTTGGTTGCTCCCAACCCCGCATCCTGGCTTGTCTCCTGGGCTGGAGCCCCAATTTCTCACCATGCCTTAGGCATCTATGGCCCGTCCATGTCCTTCCTCCTCCTCGGTCACTGCACAGACTTTCCCTGCCTCTTGCTCTCCGGCTGCAGAAACGGCCACGCTCAGCACCTCCAGCTGGGGCTTTGGGTCAGGCTGGACCCTCCCCTCACCCTCGCTGCCCTTGACCTTGTACCAGAAACGCCCCCAAACCCGAGTCCCTCCGAGCCTGCCGACACAGTGACCACCGCAGCACATGTCTGTCCAGTGTACAGGGTGGGGCCAAAGGGGGTCTGTAGTTACTCATATGGAAAATAATACAAGAATAAATAACAACACGAGAACAAACTCTGTTTTACACGGCAAGACTGTACACCTACGTTTGCCCCATCCGGTATATAAATGTTCTACACACTTGTGTAAGAGGTGCACACACACTCGCACACACTCACACACACACTCACACACACTCATTTGACCCTCACAACAGTCCTGTGGGACAGGTATCATCATTCTCCCCATTTTTCTGAGGAGGAGAGTGAGGGACACAGAAGCTGAAGACTTGCCCAGGGACACAGTCAGGTGGTGCCCAGGAGGCTGCACCGTGTCCGCGTGACTATAACCTCTCTCCTCCGTGTCGCCCCTTCTCCCCACAAGGACACTCACCAGCCCTCTCTTTGTCCCCCCTTCCCCCCTCCTCACCCCACCTCCTACTCATGGGCTTCCATGAAATGGAACTAGTCACATTTCAAAACGCTCCCTACTGACCACAAGATACAAGTGTTTGCTGGACATTGAAAGTTCTTTGTCATCTGGTCCCACCCCGGCTCCAGCCTCCTCGTCCACCCTCCCACCCCAGGCCGACCTCAGTTCCCGCACCTTGACCCTTGGCAGCACTGAGCCTTCACGGGTACTGTTTCCTGTGCCCGGAATGTCTTTGCGGTCCCTCTCTGCCAGGCAAACCCCCACTTTCCTGCTGTCGCCCACTTGCGATGATGTCTTCAGTGATGTCCTGAAGACCGCTGCGCACCCAGAGCTCAGCACTGTTAACCCTCCAGCTGGGCCCGCTGCAGAGCATCACGGTTGGCCCGACAGACGCCCCTCCGCCCGGAGCTCAGGAGCAGCTGAATCGTCAAAGAACAGACAGGTGCCCCAGATGCAGCCTGCTCGCTTCTTCCCTCTTTGTCCGTAAACAGTAAACGTTTCTTTCCACTGATCGTACAAGAGCACACATGCGGAAAAGATGCCGTATGACGTACTCCCCCTCACTCTCTATACCTTGGGGTAGGGAAACAGGCCCTCTCTTCCTCATTTCTTTTCAAATATTAAAAAAAAGAGAGAGAGAGAGTGGAAGTCAAACTAACCAGCAGAATATGGCACGAGAACAATAATGGGACCGTAACGCACAGACTGCTGGGGCCTGAGAAGTAATTTCACGCCGACGTCGTCACTTTAGTTTTGACGAAACGGCACAGAGAGATCAAGGCAGCGGCCAGCAAGGCCCTGACACCAGGGCCCTGACTGTCCATCCCGGGATCTGCCTTATTCCGTTGCCTCGACGTTGTCTTATGTTTCCCAGAGGTGGAGGGGGCCGGCTTGAGGACCCCTCGAGGACTCCCACACGCGCTCAGGCTGCTTTCTCGGGACAGGGAGGTGACAGTTCAGCACGAAACTGCCTGCTGAGCCGGCTCCTGCTCCTGCGACTTCAGGGCCACAGCTCACCCACCACTTGGCGGCAACTCCTAATCGTACCAACCAGCGCGGGCCTCCAACGGGGCTTCAGCGAGGGCGGGGCCCGCCCTGTGCCCTCCTGTTCTGCTGACACCCCCCTGTGCTCCAGTGGCTGTCCCCGCAGCACCTCTCTTCCCTCCCCTCCCTCCACCGCATTTCCTCCCAGTTAATCACTCTGAGGTCATGCTCAGCCTCTGCTCTCAGGCCTCTCCCTGACGGTGTGCGCCCAGGAAGGGGGCGGCCGAGCGACGGCAGGGGCATGCAGCAAGGCATCATGGGAAACGGGCCCTGGTGTCAAGGATGTGGGTTCTATTCCCGACTCGACCCACTGACCATCCGTGTGACCTTCAGACATTCCTAAATCTCTCAGACCCTTCGCCGAAAAAGGTGGGCTGGCTGGGGAGCGTGTCCTCACCTGTACACGGGGCAGGAGCACTTGGTTTAGAGTGAGAAGCAATGAGATAAAGGACCCCAAGCACCTGCACAGAGCCTGCGGTCAGCAGGGTGCTGGTGTTGTTCATGTGGGGGCCAGAGAAATCCCGGTGCCGACCTGGAGGCCCACAGGGGAGCCCGTGTGAGCGGGAGCCTGTGGGTGTCAGGATCTGATGGCATCTGGGGGTGCAGAGAGGGGGGCGAGGAGGAACCCTAGGGAGGGCGTGGACGTGTGTGGTTACCAACAGAGAAGAGTCTCAGTGTGTCAATAACCGTGGCTGAGTCTCTCTTCCTCCAAAATTCCCCCTCTCTATAAAGAAGATCTGTCGTGTCTGTTCTTGTCAGTAACAAGAAATCCAAAAACCCTTCCCAGGGGAGGGAGGCCTGATCCTGGCAGAAGCCAGGAAACTTTCCTCAACTGGTGGGGAAACCACACCCCAAACGATGTTCAAAGGGTCAGGGACCTCTCTGTGGGTTGCTCCACGCCAGAGGGGCTGCCCCCCAGCCTTGTCCGAAGCATAAGTGTTTCTCAAGCTTTAGGAAGATCACACTGGCAGCCAAACCCACTGGGCCTGTGAAGCCATCTCTGGGCTGGGCTGCTGGGGTCATATCTCGGTGTGGGATGGGCTCCGCCCTGTGCGTCTCGCCCCAGGACCTGGGGCTGGCATCCTCGGTCCCCGGTGCTGGAAGTCGAGGGCACAGGCCCCATGCCAACCTCCTTGGGGCTCTCAGCATCACAGAATTCTCGGGAACTGCCCCATCCTTTTGCCCTTGAGGCAAGCCTGGCCGACGACCCCTTAGATAAGAATCTGCCTTGTGTTTAAAGAGCATGAGAGAGAAGCTGCCTCAGTTCCCCTCCCTCAGTAGCTGTTCCAGGGACCACAGCCAACTCGGAGGGCTCCTGCGTGGACCCCGTCTCTTCCTCCGGTGTCGAATGACCAGGGGGAGCAGGTGGCCTCGGCTTGTCCGCCAACTTCTCCGGTAAACAAAACCGTGGAAGTCGCCGGTGTAGGTCTGGGCTCAGGACGTGTTTGTTCCTCTCAGATTGTGGAGGACGCACCAGACGTAGCCTTTCAGAAACTGTCGGTGGTGGCAGCAAATCACCCCACAGATCGAGGAGAAAGCATTCGCCTGAGTTTCGCCTCCAGTCCACCCCAGACTTCCGCCTGAGCCGGACTCAGATTTTCGGGTGGGAAGGACTCCGTGGTTATCCAACACATGCCACTTCGGATCCTCTGCCCTCCCTCGGGGCTATCTCCCGCCCCAGCCTACTTTTTTCTGCCTGACACACTCCTACTCACCCTGCAGAGCCAGACACAAACATCTCCTCCTCCAGGAAGCCTGCCCTGAGCTCCCAGGAAGAATGAACTGTTCCCATCTCTGTCTGACACCGTGCTTCTCACACGCCTCTAGCCCGCCTGAGTGAGACTGATCACAAATACTCATTCACGCGTCTCTCTCTCCCCTCCTCCTCCCTCTCTCCTCCCCCACGCTTGATACCAGACGGAGCGCTCCTCCAGGGCAGAGACCACGTCTTAATTTCCTTCGCATTCTCACCCCTGACAGAGCACATGCTTCCCCCCAAAGAATAAATTAATTCTTCAACTGAGAAAATTCAGCCCCAAACTGTCACGTGACTTGACCAAGGTCATACAGCTGGTTAGTGGCAGAGAGGACACGCACCCAGGCTTCTGATGGTGTGTCCAGCTCTCCTCTCTGACTCATGCTCGGACCCTCCAGCATTGCTCCCTGCTCGTCTCCCGATCAGACTGCCTCTCGGACACAGCTCACGCCTCGGCGTCTGACTCGCTCCGTCCCAGCCCTCACCCCACGCTCCCCATCGGCCTCTAACCCTACGGAAAAATATTCTCTTTCCGCTGCACCCTTCTTTATACACATCCGCACACATCCGTCCTGCCACCCACCCAGCTCCGTGTCTCCTCGCCGAGGTCCTCCCTGGTTAACTCCAACCCACCCACCGCGACTTCCTTCACGGGCCCACGTTGTCCCTCTGAGCCTGGTCACTGGCCCCTTTCTGAGCTCTTCTTGTTCCGGCTCCTCGTTTTTGGCCCACTATCTACTTCCTGTCAGTCAGGGGTTCCATGAGAAAGGAACCGGGTTCTCCACACGCTGCACCTTCGTAAATTCCTCTACACACAGGCAGACCTGCAAACAGACCCGAGGCACCTCGGGTTGGGCTTCGACAGGAAAACAGCTGTCGCCTCAGGTTCCGGACCACACCTGGCAGGCGCTCAGTCTAAACAGTCATTGCATTTGTCAGGACTCTGCTGAGGGAGCTCGACAGGGACACCCAGATATTGAACTGCGGGCTGGAGGCAAGACGCCCTTCCAAGGCCCCTTCTGGTCCTCAGATGTATAAGTCTGTGAATCAACACCCTCAAATTTTACTTAATCGTGTTTTTCCTCCCACATTTCACATAGTACAAATGACCCCCCAGATTGATTGAATAAAGGTTTTGTTCTGAAAGGCCTTACCTGCCTGTTGAAATCTAGGCTGTTTCGATCATTTCCTGGAAGAGATAAAACAAATATTAGTTGCTAGGACTGGAAGAGGCTGAGGTGAGCGGGAAAATAGGATGTGGAGCGAAGCTTGTCCTTATTTTATAAAAGAACACCCGCGTTTTTCCTATGACCGGCATCCTCCTGCTTATCTTGTTTCCTGAAAAGGTCTTGGAAAATTTCCTCCAGAAAGGTAGAAAACCAGAGAAGAGCAGACTGGCTTGTCCGAGGTCACAGAGCGTCAGCTCGGATTAGAACCTGCCGCACCAGAGTGCGGGTTCGGTGGCCGTCCATCAGACAGAAGCTATTACAGGTGCTCGTGGGTAAGCAGAGTTCCCAGCCACGCATCCGTAAGGCAAGTCCTCCAAGGGTAACGACATCCAAGTCGGGGCAGGGAGCTGGGTGACAGTCCTGTTTCTCCCTACCCTCCAACTTCCATTTCTTGTCTTGTCCTTTGCCATCCTTTTGCAATAAAAGTTTGGTTGAAACATTAAATGTGTGCTTAGTAAAGAAAAGTTTGGGTACAGAAAAAGTACAAAGTAGCAGGAAAATCACTCTGCTGAGGTAACTGTAATGAATATTTTTGTATATTTAAGGTTGTTTTTATGCTTATCTTTCTCATTGATAAACACTAGTTTGTATAAATGATTACCATAATTTTTCTAGTGAGCATCACAAATATTTCTCCTATACTATTAAGGAGCATTAACAATATTTCCCTATGCTTGCAAACATCATTTTTAATGGCTACCTAATATTCCATTCTATGGATATACCATAATTTGCTTAAACATATAACTATTGTTTGGAGAATTGTTTTCAATCTTTGCCATGATAAAGTTTTCTATTCATATAACTTTCTAGGGCAGGAATGGCCAAACAACCTTCCTTTGGGCCCCAAGAATTGTGGGCTTTATAAAGCCGAGGAAAATGACTATGTATTCCTGGATAAGAAAAAGCTAAAGGATTTCGCCACCACCAAATAAGTATTACAAAAATGTTAAAAGAATTTCTTTGAGAAGAAAAATAAAATAAAATTATGTGACTAATATAATGGCAATAAGTAGAGACCTACCAAAACTTACTTTAAATGTAAGTGGAGTAAATGCTCCAATCAAAATACATCAGTGGCTAAACAGATCAGAAAACAAGACCCATATTTAAGCTGCCTACAAGAGACCCACTTCAGATAAAAATATACACACAGATGAAAAATTATTTTTTATAAAAATGGAGAGAAAAGATGGGGTAGCAATACCTGTATCAGACAAAATAGACTTTAAAACAAAGGCTATAACACTAGGCAAAAAAAAAAAAAAAGACATTTTATAATGATAATGGTATCAACCCAACAAGAAGACATAACCCTTGTAAACATTTATGCACCCAAAGTAGGAGCAACTAAATAGGGAAAACAGATATTGATGGACACAGAGAGTCCCCAGTAATACAGTAATGGCAGAGGACTATAACACCCCATTAATGTCCACAGGTGGGTCATCCAGATAGAAAACCAACAAGAAAAGAGCAGCCTTAAATGACACATTAGACCAGGTGGATTTAATTGATATTATTGGAACATTTCATGCTAAAGCGGCAGAATATATATTCTTTTCAAGTGCACATGGACATAAAACATGTCTCAACAAACTTGAGAAGACTGAAATCAGATCAAGCATCTTCTCCAATCACAATGATATGAAACTAAAAAATAAATAACAAAAGAAAACTGAAAAACACACAGACACATTGAGGCCAAATAGCATGCTACTAAACAATGAATATGTTAACAACAAGATCAAGGAAGAAACCAAAAGATACATTGAAACAAATGAAAATAAAAACAAAATAACTATAATTTTATAGAACACAGCCAAAGCAGTTCTAAGAGGGAAATTCACAGCATTACAGGCCTACTTCAAGAAACAAGAAACATCAAACAATCTAACGTTAAACCTAAAGGAATTAGAAAAATAAAAACAAAGCCAAAGTGAGTAGAACAAAAGAAAGAATAAAGAATGGAGTGGAAATAAAGAAAACAGGGTCTAAAAAACAATACAGAAGATCAATAAAACCAAGATCTGGTTCTTTTAACAGATAAATGAGATTAATAATTATTTAATCAGACTCATCAAGGGAAAAAGAAAAACCAAATAAACAAAATTAGAAATGAAAGAGGAGTAGTGACAACTAATACCACAGAAATACAAAAAAGTATAGGAGAATTCTACAAACAATTCTATTCCAACCAATTGGACAATCAAGAAGAAATAGATGAATTTCTAGAAACATACAATCTTCCAACACTGAATAAAACCAAAAATCTGAACAGAACAATAACTAGAATATAACTAGAATACATAAAATTGAATCAGTAATTAAAAAACAAAACAAAACAAAACAAAACTCTCAACAAATAAAAGGCCTAGACCTGATGGCTTCACAGGTGAATTTTACCAAATAATTATAAGAAGAAAAATACCTATTTTTTCCAAACTATTAAAAAAAAACTGAAGAGGGGGAAGGCTCCCAAGCTCATTTTATGAACCCAGCATTACCCTAATTCTAAAGCCAGACAAAGGTACTATAAAAGAAAAG